ATTTTTATATTTTTTCCATTAAGATTGAATCATCGATTCTGACAAGCATCATTCATCCGAATTCATGCATGAATCAACATTCGACACTCGAAAATTTTAATTGACTTTATTCATCACAATCACGTTCATTAAATCAATCGAATCATGAAGCTTCCCACTGTAGCAATGACTAACCGAGATTGTTCAAGGTACCCCCGGAAGCGTAGGACCACCAGGACCACCAGGTGGAGACGTTTTGGTAACGGTAGCAAAACCAGGACCAAAGGGAAAAACTGGTGACTGCGGTCAACCAGGTGAGCACGGCAGCGCAGGAGCACCAGGACCAGCTGGAGCACCAGGAGCAGCCGGAAGTCCCGGACCTAACGGACGAGATTGCTCACCAGGAATGGACGGCTCAGCTGGAATGCCAGGTATGGACGGAAAGCCAGGCCTGGATTCACAATACTGTCCTTGCCCACCTCGAGCACGCGTCTAAAAGCGAACGTCGTGTCGATAAAATGGCAAAATCTCTCGTGAATACAACCCCTAACGACTTATCAATCAATTTGTGTGAATTTTTTGTTCCAATTCAATTGATATCAAATTTGCGTTAATTCAAAAATTTGATATCCTTTGAAGAACTTCAATAAGTTTGATTTGTAAGATACTTCATCGATAACATCAAATAAACTTATTCAGTATCTTTGCAATGTAAAGTTTCTGTTTTCACCGCAGTCATGATTATCGTTTCTCCAACTATTGAATCGATGGAAGAGTTGCAATAAGCTGTCAATATCATCAATTACAGATTCACTACAATATTTTTGTAGTGAATTTTTTTATTCGGCAAAAAGTTCAGTGTCCTAAAATATTCGACCGAAAAAAGTACACTTAATTTCAACGCATTCCAGGAAGATGATAGAATTTTAAAAGTAATCTTTAGACGATCAATTTGCAGAATATACCGAAACAATAACGCATGAAAATAAGTTGTGCATATTTTGCATTTCTTTTCAAAGGCTATGCAAAATGTAAAATGAGCTGTGTAAAATGAACAATTTGATTGCTTCCACTTGATTGATTCGATATTAACGAATTGATCGAAACGTAGAATAATCTAGCGCTATTCGTGTAACTCACCATTGTTTGACTCACTGCACAATGTATGTGAGATTAATTTGCTTCAATTCCTTGTTGACATCTCAATCGTATCAAAAGATTGCGAAGTACCTGAATTCAAATGACTTTCACACTTCACCTTTAAAATAATACGATTACGTAAACCGTCACGGTCGAGCCCGAACAACGATATTCACTGCAAGAACCTTTTAACAGTTGAGAAAAAAAGAACGCAAAAATTCGACTCAAATGAGAATTCAACACATTAGATCCGAAAGTTTCACAGTGCTCTGACTGCAGTACTCTGAACATGTCAGGTCAAGGTAAAGAAGCCTTTTGAGACGATCGCCATGGTTTCGCAATCCCCTTCACTGCCCTGATTATTATTGCTGC